TGTTTTTGTGTACGTTCCAAATAAAATATCCTATCCTATCCTATCCAGTACACACACAACCAAAAACTAGTGAAAGACAGAATATGCTAAAAATGTAACAACAATTTAATCAAAGATGAAGATAATTGACTTAATTATCAGAAATATGATACTGAACGAAAAATATTAAGATTAACACACTCACGAACATTGATCACTGCCAGTGTAAACATCACCCATAGAAGAGCAATTTATGTAGGGCTACTCCTCCCCACAACAACCCCACCCCACCCCACCCCACCACACAAACCCACCAGCCGGCCCACCTATCTGCATGACTGTACATAGACACGGGCACTTGCAACAGGAGTTTTAGAAGTTGGGTTAGGAATCTTATATAATCTAGTAGATTCCTATAGTCAAGTCTATGTAACCTTTATAGTACAGGTACATAGATCCCTAGCTCAATCTATGTTATAGCTTAATTATACTAAGTAGTTCCCATGCAGTACCCAATTACTCCTGTTGCAAGTGCGCATGGTGCGGAATACACTGTGGTTACCTTTCTCTTCTTCAACAAACTTTGCTTGAGTAATATTTGCATCACCATCCCGAATGCCTTCACCTGGAGGACTACTGACGCTTCTGAACAAGCTTGCCATGATTCCGAAGACACACCGCAGTTGGTACAGTTCGAATTTGATCAACGGGTGTAGTCGTGTGTCATGAAAAGGAATGCTGAGTCGGCGCGAGAACATAAGAGGGGCACTAAAACAGCAAATATTGCACTATTTTCTTCAACGACAAGTTGTAAAAAAAAAATACAGATTTCACAACACGGAACTGCCTACAATGTTGTTTCATTCAGTTTGACCCGTGGTTGTTGGTATGACCTTAGAAGTATACGCCCTCTATTGGTTGCAAGTAATATGGCGGGCATCGATCGATTCGCAGTTCAACAGTTCAACAATTAGCAGCACGCACAAATAGACAATTTGTTTTGTTAAGTATGGAGGCAGACTTCAGAGTTTTTGAATTTCGTTCAACTCAAGACAGTAAAAGTGACCTGAGACAGCGCTTCCTGTGCACAACGACATGCGCTAGGTCACAGGGCTGAAGCATGCCGCCAGTCAATATTGTAGCAAGTCGGACTGTCAATTTCTAACCACAAGTTATTGAAGTAGTAACACTTTAAAGAGAGAAAAAATGTTATGTTCAAACAGTTACGGAATAATTGTAATTTTGAAACATTATATTGCAATATAATCATCATCAATCTAAATTTGACCCAATGCATGATTCGATCACAGTCCCGGTGTTGAGGGACTGTGATTCGGTGCACAATTTTATTTTCCCAAACACAGTTAAAAGTGACATTGAGCGTATATTAACCTAACCAGGCTGAGCTACGCACCAACGACAGCGTATCGAAGATACTGATTGAAGAGGGTCTTGAATGCATTTCATATCTGATAAGCAATCTTGTTCAGATCACAGCTGATGGAATTTTTCAGATTTTTCCATATTTACCAGACGTACGGTCTACATTTCTTTGTACGGATCATATACCTCAAAACCAACAAAATACAGCGGAGAAGTCAAATGCACAATTATTTTAAACATTGATTTGTTATATATATGGTACACCGATGGTACAAACATTCGGTAAATATGACCAACACCACTCAATTTTGCACCAAAAAACCGATAATTTTGTACGTGATATTACACATGGTGACATAGAACTATATGTGATTAATATGGCGTATACGTTTGATAACTATTAACATAACACCTGCACAACAATAGTTTAAGCCTCAAATTCGACCAACGCCACCCAATTTTGCAACAAAAAGCCGACAAATTTGAACATGTAATGCATATAGTAACGAATGGTGATACCAGAGAGCTCCCTGGTCATACTATCTAGATCCGCTCCACAATTGTGTCAAGTTTACTGTTTTTTTAGTTGCTGGTTTTAGTGTCATCTATTACCCTTCATGCATTTGAAGTCAGCCCAATTGTTTAGGTAGATTATTTCATGTTTTTGTTTCATCTGTTGGTATTACTGTAATGTGGGTACAAATTTTACTTGAGGATGAATTTCACTTTCTTATTGACCGTACACAATATAACGAAACAAGAATAATGATATTTAAGTCAATACAAACCTCAGATCCATGGTTTAGTTGTTAAATAATGAGGCAAAGTTCTTAAATATTATGGGCAAAAAGAAATCTTGCAGTTTATATTAACAAAAGTTGTATTTTCTGAAATAGTTTCATCTATATGTATTTATCATATCTGAACTGAATATGTAATGTTTCTTCTTTTTTGTATCATTAAAGTTATTATAATACAATTATATCATCTATTATGCAGTCGTTGATAATATATTAGTTATCGTGACCGGGATCGTACGCTTACGAGTACGTTAATGACATGCTGCATCCTATCACACACCACCTGCTTAGTTCATTCAGTGCATTGACAATGCATTCACACAGCTCGTCGATTTAGAAATCGATTGTTCTAATCCATAATGTTGCTTCTCAAATTACTGTAAATAATTAGTCAAATTTTCGATGGTCAGACAGGCTGCGGGTAATCCATCAAGTATTTGTATTCAAATGATTCCGCAATCTTACAATAACCTATTTGCCATTCATTTTGTTTGTCAATTCTGTTATTTTCCATAGTTTACAAAATTTGTTGGTTATATGCAACATTGATTTTAACTGTTGCTAGTTTGGTGCAATAATTACTACATCATCAGCAAAGAACAAACTATTAATAAGTACATGTACCTCATTCAACATATTTTTAAATTCATTAATGTATAATGCAAAAAGTATTGGTACAAAAACACAACATTGTGTGAGGCCTTCGTGGTGGTCAGTCTTTACATCACCAAATGATACAATGCTTTCAATATAGTCATGTGTATGTTTATAATTTGCATATATTGTCAATATTCAAGTTATCATCACAGTAATCTCTTGTAGCTCGTTGACAAAAGATGTCCATGTGTTACCCTTGACTTTACCTCCTGAGATAAAAGTATAGTATACTAAGTGACTGCAGATTTTATCGATTATTCTGTTTTTATATTTTAGAATCTGTGTACAAATTTCAGTCATAATGGGGGTGGTGTCATCAGCAGTTACGAACATTGATCACTTGATAGGTAGTAACTCAGGTTACATCTGTGTTTAACACCACTTGATGATTTTTGTTTTGATTGCATACTTAGTAATAATATACATTAAATTTATCAAGGTATAAATATTACATCCCATCTCGCAAAAAAATATCAAATGCGCAGGTTCACAAAACAGGCATTATTTAAGCGGATATTTACATTTTTTATTTTAGTTTCAAAGGTGGACATGTCTGTCTTTCTTTCTTTCCTGCATTCAATTAATTACGGTATGTAACCCTTAAGAGCACTTTTAGTAGCTCTGAATTTGAAACGACGAGAGCAGATGGGTTCAAACTCCGAACTCACCATGTGAAACATGGTGTCGGGCATAATTTTTTGGGCCTTATGAAGTTTATGATCATGTATATTCATAAGTTGGTCATTGTGCGGACAGTACGTACAGGGTCCACCTGTCACCAAAGTCACACGTGTACTGCATCCACGAATTGCCCAATACACGTTCTAGGGTTCTAAAAGCATATTAAGCATACAATACATATCTATATATCTGTTATGTACCACAAAGTCATACACAGCTTCACTTACATCAAGAAAAATTACAAACGCAAGTTTCATATCAACAGTATCATTATTTAATAACAACAAATCACAGTAACAATACAAATTTCATATGCGGTAGTGCCGCTATTTAAACAACATCTAAAAAGAATTATCATTTCAATATACATGCTAGTGACGTTTAGGAACATAGAGATTTAGGTAACAACATTCATGTTTGGTTGAAGACTTATAATACATATAGGCACGTAGTTATATTTGTCAGGTTTCTCTTTGAATACATACAACTCTTTCTTGATTAGGTCAAATACGCCTACAGAAGGTAATAGAAAAAGTATTTTAAAATAGCATATCAATTTCAACAATAAATAAAGAGCATATAATTATTCAATGCCAATTGCAGGAACAACTGTGTGTGCATGCCTAGAAGGATACTAAATTGAAATGCAAATATATACTTTATAACGATATAGTGGATAATATACCTATACTAGCAGTAACATACGAGTCTGGAGGATTTCCATTACGAAATATAGGATATAGTACATCCTTTTCGTCTGACATTATATTCAAGATATCCGTTATATTGCTGGGTGTTGGCATTTCATCGATTCGCCTCATACGGTGAATGGAACTATCATCGACATAGTGGAGTGTGTCTATCCTTTTGTACCTATAATGAATGATTCATCTTGTGATATAGATACAATCGAGTCAATCATTTTAAATTTGAACTTGAAACGAATGTATGTTTAATACACGGTCTTCGATTGAATTCAGTCATGGTATACGTATGATATGGTTCAAGAACAGCTTTATTTATTACCAAGTCTACCAGTCGGACATTTTGAATTCAATTTGTAAAACAAAATGGCGTGCATATTGCATACTGATGGTGACAATAAGGTGTCATAATGCACTATCTTTAGCAATGCATGGGAGTATCAGCATACAAATATCTCAACGGTATAGTCAACAATGGAACTTCAAAATATGTTGATGTAACGAGGTCAATAGAGTGTAAAATCATGTAAAATATTAGTTTGTTTTATTACGTGCAAAGCATATGCCTGATCATACCTAAAAGTCTGACTCACATGTTAACATGGTAATCAAATCCTGTATACTCTTGAACATCAACTTTTGATCCAGTTGGGCAATGTGCAATCTCAATACTATATAATCTAGCACTATCGTCACCTTTGCCAATGCATCCAACATTTATATTAAAGCCAGACGCTACTCCTGGAAGCTGTTCCATGATATGAACAGCATCGTCTATATTTGTAGCTGATAGCAGCGCCCTGGTAATAAATTTACGAGCTGCAACAAAGAAAAAGGAAAAGATAAAAAAATAGTGAAAGTAATTCACATTAAAGATTCTACATGAAACAAAAAAGTCAAATAAATATGTTTGGAAGAAGATAGTAAAGACAAGTGGGAGAACTGAACCAGAAAATCTGCTGAATACAGTTCGGGTTTTTTGGACACCAGATCAGAGCCGAAAGATTAACATAGGTGCTGATTCAAGGAAAGGTAGAAGAAGGGAGATAGAGAGAAAGCCAAGAAGAAATTGCACTGATTATTTAAAAGGGTGGTCAGAGTTAAAGGTTTGATGACGAAATGTTTTTTTTTTGTTTTTGTTTTTTTATTCAATATGCAAAAATTACAAATTACAGACAAAACAACAATAAAAGAAAACAGAAAAACATTTACAGATCATAATATTCAATAAAAGGCCCCCACTTCTTTAGAAACTTTGTTCTTCTGTTCTGAGCTTTCGCAATGATACTTTCCAGATCAA